AGTGATCGCCTTATTCTAGGCTTACTGCAGTAAGGACCCCATCTGCTCCAACAACGAATCACTCGAAGGAAATTTTCTGTTATCTGAATTTCTTATCTTCATTTGAAGTAAGTCAATACACAGCTCTAAAAAGATAGACTCCGACGACAACAACAGATACAAAAACAGCTCAGAACATCCTCCGCCACCAACCGCCGCCGCCGTCGCCGTCGCTACAACTTTGTTTCCTCAATGGCGGCTGCTGCAATTACTGGTGTAGGATTGTCGTGTCCCTCAAAATTGAGTCAAACCGCCGCCGGTCGCCGCCAAAAGCGGTGCGCTTCAGTCGTCCGGATGACTTTGCTCGATGAGAAGAAGAAAACGTACACACTCACGAAATCGGAAGAGGCTTTTGCCGCCGCCAAGGTACTGTGGTGATTATTTCATTTAACAGATCGACAAATAATATATTTTGCCTTCTCCAAACTTACGCAGTAAACCTTGCAAGTTTTTGCTTGCTTTCGATTCCGTAGATTTTTATTGAAATTGCCTCTGGCAGTTAAGTTTTATAAGTATAATTGTTGAAATTTGAAGAGGTTTCGTTTCGATTACTGTGAGAGTGGATGTGGAAGATCCGAGATGATTGAATTGCAGCTCACATAGTGCAATATTGGGATTAGGGTTTTGATCAGTGGATGTGTTGTATTTTCTTATTGTAGTTTGTTAGTGTATGATATATAGGTGGTGAGATCATAGTTGAAATGCAGATGTTTTGTAGGTAAACAACTGGCTGATTTGTGATTTCAGTGCATTTTATTATATATAATTGTGATTTGGCTAATCGTCTTACTCAATTTAGGTGCAACTTTTGTAGCATCATCTCGTGGATTAGCGTTTTGTTATTTCTTCTGAAAGATGTCTTCGACTTGTCTATTGAGTTCTTTGTTATATAATGTGATAAAAAAGTTGTACATATACTGAATCCAAAATGTGTTCTGCTTTTGTTTATAGGAACTGATGCCCGGAGGTGTAAATTCCCCAGTACGTGCTTTCAAGTCAGTTGGTGGTCAGCCTATTTTGGTTGATTCTGTGAAGGGCTCTCACATGTGGGATATTGATGGCAACGAGTACATCGACTATGTCGGATCATGGGGGCCAGCCATTATTGGCCATGCAGATGATGAGGTGTCCTTTACTTGCCTTTCGTGTTTCCTTTCAGGAACCTTTCGAAAGCATCCGTTATAAAAAAAAAACATTTCTAAACAAAAATCAGTCTTGTCAAATCTGCAGGTACTTGCTGCCTTGTCAGAAACAATGAAGAAAGGAACCAGCTTCGGTGCACCTTGCCTCCTCGAAAACGTTTTAGCAGAAATGGTGATCTCTGCTGTTCCGAGTATAGAAATGGTTCGATTTGTCAACTCAGGCACAGAAGCATGCATGGGCGTACTTCGATTGGCTCGTGCGTACACAGGGCGCGAAAAAATCATCAAATTCGAAGGATGCTACCATGGCCATGCAGATGCATTCTTAGTCAAGGCGGGAAGTGGTGTTGCCACCCTCGGCCTTCCCAGATTCTCCCGGAGTTCCCAAATCAGCCACCTCAACACGCTGACATCACCTTACATGATATCGCACAGTCGAAGCCTCTTCGAAGCGAACAAGGGAGAAATCTGTGCAGTCATTCTCGGAGCAGTTGTAGGAACGCCGGCTTCATCACACGCAAAACCCGGAATTTCTCCAACGCACTAGCGAAAAATCACCAAAGAACACGGGGCTCTATTGATTTTCGACGAAGTTATGACGGGGTTCCGTCTCTCTTACGGTGGTGCTCAGGAGTACTTTAACATAACCCCCGATCTGACGACACTCGGAAAAATCATCGGCGGCGGTCTGCCGGTCGGTGCGTACGGAGGGAGGAGAGAGATTATGGAGATGGTTGCTCCGTCAGGGCCCATGTACCAGGCGGGGACACTGAGCGGAAACCCTTTGGCAATGACAGCTGGCATCCACACGCTGAAGAGGCTGCAACAGCCTGGCACTTACGAGTACTTGAACAAGATCACAGGTGAGCTTATCGAGGGACTTGTGGGGGCTGCAAAGAAAGCCGGACATGAATTCTCCGGTGGGTATATAAATGGTATGTTTGGTTTCTTTTTCACCGATGGACCGGTTTACAACTTCGAGGATGCGAAGAAGAGCGATACTGCGAAATTTGCGAGGTTTTATAGAGGGATGCTCGAGGAAGGTGTCTATTTGGCGCCTTCTCAGTTTGAGGCTGGTTTTACGAGCTTGGCACATACTGATGAGGACATCCGAAAGACGATAGCTGCTGCCGAGAGGGTTTTCAAGACGCTTTAAATTATCCTTTTTACCGACGTCGTTCTTCGACGGAATTCGTTGGTAACTTGCTTGTTCTTTTTTTCTTTTCTTTTCTTTTTTGTAGCCTACATATTTTTAGAGGATTTTGTTCTATTGAGCGTAGTTTCTTTCTTCTTGTTTTGAGTGTGTTTGTGATTGTAGTTCAGTTGTAACATGTTGGAATAATGATTTCACTATTTATGGTCTTGCTATGGAGTTTTTCACTTTGCTTGACCTATGTAATAACTAATAATAGAGTCTGATCGAAGAATGTTTGAAAAACAACTAAAAATGAGCTATGAGTTTGAAATTCTTCGTCATATGACTCGGTCCAAACGAAGTCCATTAATTTGTTATTATGGATTTGAAATATCTCCCTCAAATTCCCCCGTCATAGTGCACGTTTTGCTGAAAACCGAAAAGCCGAAAGGAGATGGAAATTTTATAATTGTTCTTAATGATTATGCCATCCACTTACCATTAGTGTCATTTGAAAATAATTAATTACAAGCATCTTTTCGTACCAAAAAAAAATGAATAACAATACTACCAAATTTATCCATTTTAACAGTTGCATGTCGTTCTCGTTCATAATCATATTATATATACGAATCGATGTATTAACCTCACTTTGATTTACATTTTTTTCCACTTATGAAAAAGGGTTGATTTACATGCACGAAAGATAAGAGAACACAAATCATATTATCTTGGACCTCATTTGATCGTCAAGATAAGATTATAAAAAATACGATTACGTAATCTTGTGAGAGCTCAAGATTAGAGCTATCTTTTTTCATAATTGCACGTCGACCAGAAAAGTTTTTGGACCGGCCAAACATCAAACAAAGTTAAATTATTTCACTAATCATGACTATTTTTACCATCCAACCCAAACCTTGATAGATATATCAAAGGATAACCCCACAATATTCCAACAGTTTCAGGCATCAACATCATTAAACTAAGCAATTCCATAGTTTTTTTCCAAGAATGTTTTGTTTTCCCCTCTCTAATTATCTATATACCAGAAATATGTAATGTCAGAAAGTTCCTTGTACATTGCACTACCAAAACTGCATCAGCTGACAATCCTTTGACATAACGAAATTCAGACAGTTTCCACTTCGCGAACAGTGAACAACGGCCCATCATTGGCATTAAGCAGGCTCCAATAAGAACCTCCAATATCCACAAAACCACTATGCCATTTGATTCTGTAAGAGCCAATGGGAAAAGAAGAAACATCGAGCAAGCACGAAGTGAAACCTTGACCACGATCATTAAGTTCAAAACAGACATATTCATTTACCACCGAACAAGAATCATTGGCTTGAGCTCTACAATGCAATCCATGGGCCGGCGTAGGGCCCACAACATATCTCAGCAGCTTCTCGTTCAACTCCACCATATCATCGATTTTAGTCGATTGTGCTTCTTGCCCTTTACACTGTCTAATTACAGTTGATGTCTGAGAATGTTGTACCGTACAATCGAGAATGCAGTACACTTTTTTCGGAGGACCTGGCATGCCAGCTGGCATGTTTTTTAATTGAAGACACAAATTGAGAGAGAGATGGGACCCCGGTGAAATGGACAATCCGTGTACGGTTTGACCATCTTCGTTCGTGAGAAATAGCTCAGAGGAGAGAGAAGGCCTGAAGGTATATTCGACTGTTAGTATTCAAAATAATCATAGTACACACAGTATATGAGAAAGGAGACTAAATTGAATGTTTAAAGCATGAACGACAACCTCGAAAAGTTTAAGGCATGGTTTTTCTAGCCTCCATAATCAATTAAAAAAATATTTGTTATTCATTTTACCTTACTCGAAAGAAGTGATGAGGAGTGCGGAAAGGAATCAACATCAATTTTGAGATCACGTTCAACAGCAGTAGCGGACCACGATTTAGAATTTGAGACCCAGCATCGCCATCTTGATGTAACCTGGTTGCCTCATTTTGCAAGCTAAAAATCTCTCCAACAGAATACGTACAAATCTTGTGCAAGACTATTGCCTCGTGAGAAGCATAGGAACCTTCATTTCGAAATCTCGGCGAAAAACAGCCCTTGTAGTTGGGGTAGGACTTCAGAAAAAGTAGGAGATATTTCCTAGTTTCGCAGTCTATATGCCTCACTCGCCCAACTAAATCTTCTACAAGCAATGCATGTAAAGGCCCGTCTGAATTTCCAAATTTTCTATAACTTTCTGAGGAATGCAAGTTTGGAACTGGAAAGGCAAAACCAGCAGTAAAAGCCATAAGTGAGCAACTCAATGCAAGTGCTGAAACACTCATCCCACTTTGTCGGTCCATTCCCATAGAAGATGCTGAGAGTAGATCCATTTCTCGAGCTAATTTCATCATCCGGCATGAGACTTCCATAGAAGAGAAAATTAAGGGATCGAGTGTCTGCAAAGAAGTGTGTCGAAGCAGAATACCTCCCTCTGGTTGTCCGCCAGACCAAGTGCCATCTTGAATAAATAAAATTTTATCCAGTAGCTTCAACATGTCAACAACAGTATTCAAAACCTTAGCCCTGAGGGTCAAAAACCATCTTTGGAAGCTGAACATATGGCCCATATCAAAGGCTGCAAGAATCTCGTCCTGAAGTGTATTGGAAGCTCTGAGAAAATTCTTGATGTAGTTGCAATAGTTGGTCCTGAAGGCCGAGGTGCCTCCCCTTTCACCTAAATTACTTTCAGAAGGGACAATAGACATGCCTTCATCGGATAAAAGAAACAACTGAATCTGCTCCTCGGAGTTTGAGAACTTAGCCAAAGATTTCACCCAGGAAGAGCAGGAATTAGATTGAACTACAGTAATAAGTTGTTTAAATATGAAAGCTGCTGTAGACCATGCCCCTTGACAGGCGGCAGTTTTTCCAGCCTTGTAGGAGTACCAGTAACTGTTTCCTTCTAACATCTTCTTGGTGTAATCCAAAGTAAATTTATCAAGCTGAAGTATGGAATTTACAAAAGACAGGCTCGTGTTTCTACTTGGTATTATCAATTCCTCTGCCGTATGCCGAATGCAGCTAAAGGTCGAAAGCAAGTGCAAGAAAAGGATGTATCTAATGCCGGTGTAGCTACCAAAATAATTGCATTTGCATACATTTTCTACTTGAAGTTTCAGTGCATCCAAAATTTGGCTGGTTTCAGCATCAACTTCTTCAAGGTTTAGCAAACAAGAAACCATAATTTTTGATACATAGAGCATGAGATTTGATAAGAGCGGTTTACCATGGCGGCCAAACTCTGCAATCTCATGCTTTGGGGAATCAGTTTTCTCTGTGTCCATTACTTTGTTCAGCATCTTCATCAGTCTATCTATAAATAAGCATATATTATTCAACATTAGGCATTGAAGGTACAAATGATTGTCAACCAGGTTAAATAAAATGTCGAGCAATCTTTTGACCTCAAGCTCTACAGCACTATCCGCCTGATAAATATCTACTTTTGGTGTAACCAGCGAAAGGATTTGATCTAAAACAAAAGAGATGACCTGTAACGCCAGGGTCCGACCCGTTCCACCTGATGCCATATCTAATCTTCCCAAAATCTTTCCAGAAATATCTGCTAGAACACTAACAGCTAAAAGTCTGGTTGACGGTGTAGATGATTGCAGAATATTTTTTACAACTGCCGATAGCTTGATAAAAAGCTCAGGAATCTCCATGCAAGGAATGATTGATAACTTGAATAGAAGGATCTGCAAAATGCCATAATGTGAGAAAATCTATGAAAAACAACGAGGTCGTAATTCAGTAATGCAAGCATGGAAGCACCTCATTCAAGATTCGCAAAGCTTCAAGATGCAGTGTTGGCTGAAGTTGAGATCTGTACAGTATGCCAAATAACTTGTCCATTGTGCCTGTAGTTGAAGGAAAATTACAATCTCCTCTTGATAATATGAAGCGGTGGCATCTTAATGATGTGGCTTGCACGTGCACAGATCTCTCATCACTTTGAAAAAATGTAAGCATTTCTATCTACACCCAAAAGTAAGAAAGTAAATGCGAAAATCAAGCAAAAATATATTGCAATGAAACAAACAAAAAAGAAGAAGTTATATATGTACCACAAGTCAGTATAGTCTACAGCAAATTTATCTCAAGGGGTAGCTAGATTTCAACTTTCTACATCTGACAAATTCTAGTTTTTCGCATTTCCAAGACTCCGGCCATGACAATCAAAATTGTGATCTGTTAGTAGTTTATTAAACAATGACATTAATTGAAGGAAGGATAATACAATCAAGTTTACAAAATCCTGCCAAGATATGTATCTCCGCTATTTTCAGTATCCAAAAAAACACTTATTACTCCAGTATATAATCTTCAAACATAATTATATTTCTTTTCTTTTATTTAATCTGGGATGTCACTGTGTTGTCCTTTCTTACCTAAACTTGAGGTTTCATCTCTCAGGTGTGAGGGAGTAACTTGCCTAATTTTGCCATCCAGGTATCATAAGTTATAAAAGCAAGCAATGGTTTTAAATCAGCAATATCAATAAGGTAAATAAGCACCTGAGTAGGGATTAGAAGCATCCACCTAGAAGCAATTCTGGAAAGTGATATCAGCATCACAGCTGAGAAGTCATCTTCTGAAGAATCCATTAGAAGCTTTAAACCTGTCTATAACAAGTATAATCAAAGAATTGCAACATAGCATATAGAACAACATGCACATTATTCAATCATCATATTGTTGCATCTAGCGCAAGGCACTTTATTTACAATAATTGTTAAGAAATGAAATTTAATGGCTCCATGTTAGATTCCACATTTCTCTCGTATAATAACTTTTCTATTTTAAAAGACTAGCTTAATGGCCTCATTATGCTGTAATCCCTTGTGAGAAAGTTTCATGTCATGGCATTATGGAGAAGGACTGCCTACTCTAGCCTTTTGTATTTATAGAGATGTGGAAAGATGTTGAACCTTATGTGCCTTATCTGCAAGCGAAAATGGACGCCACATTTTGGCAAATGCTCTCCCTCCAGCTAACTTTACGGCCTTTGATATTTCCCGTGATAAAACCATTGTCTTAAGCATCTCTAAGAAAACATTGGCAAAGTCTTCTGACAATTCAGACAAGCATCCTGCAGCAAACAAAGCACCCTTTACCTGCGAACAGTTACAGAAGATTAGACAAAGAAAAAAAAGTGAGAGCTAAATGGGATCAAATTTTGGTCAAGTTAATAATCAGTACGTGCAGGGCACACAGTTTTGTTCCATTTATTTCTTTTCATGTTACTTTTCTCATATTTTTTTCCTTTTCCTTACTTTTCAGGTTATCTTCTTCCTGTTTATCTGATAACGCGCAAAAGCTCATGCACTCCTGTTCATATTTTTTATTAATTTTTCTGCAAATACCAAAATAATTTCAGATACTGGTTTATTTTCACATGTCCTTTTTCAGTTTTTATTATATTTATTTCTTTTCATGTTACTTTTCTTATATTTTTTCTTTTTTCCTTCCATTTTCAGTTTATCGTCTTCCTGTTTATCTGATCACCAGCAAAAGCTCATGCACTCCTGCTTAGACACACACTCACACGGTAAAGTATTCACAAAGCAAACACAAACATATTTGGACAACATGTACGAAATTAACTGACAGAATATGTCTTCACATATGGCAGGACGAACCCCTCAAACACGATCAGATTAAAGCAACATCGTTCAAGCATTAAATTCCTAATAGTAATCATTTCTATTGTTCTTGACTTCTTGTATCGAAACATATCTGGACAATATGTATGAAATTACTTCTTATTTACTATCTACTTAAACTCTTCACACTACCTATCATAATTTGGATCTGATTTGTCGATATATATCGTGCATGTAATGATTATATATCTAATACTTTGTCCATACATCTCTAGATATGCATGGCATGAGCGGAGAAAGTTTTTCTTTAGCTCAAACTATTTCCTTTTGTAAAATATCTCTTTGTTTATATCCTCCAGAAAGTAAATTGAAGCAAAACTATCTAAAAAATAACAAATAAATAACGGTTTTTCTTTTACTACACTGCATCCAGAGTTGACTGATTATAAATTTGAATTCCTTAAGAGAGAATGGTGTTTCATAACCTTACCTCAAGAACATCACTAGACACCAAACTTGACAGCACGATGTAACGTATATCTGCACAATCATTCCCAAAAGAAGCCCAGCAACCAAACAGCAACAAAGCCAGTGCTCTTTCTTCAACATCCCCTTTATCAAACACTTCCTTCACTCTGCTCAACAATTCCAAGTAATTCTCCAATTTAACCTTTTTAAAAATACCTCCCCCATCTCTTCTCATCCTCCTTTTCATTCTCAAAAAAAGCTTAACAACGCCACTCTTAATCTGTTTATCCCCTACCCTAAATGCATCCGCCAGACGCATAAAAATCGCATTAAGGAACAGCTTATCCTCGCCCTTGATTAAGCCGAACATTCTGTACTCCGCAAACGTTAGCTCTGAGTCGGTGTTCCACCACTCGAGCTGCCGGCCAATTTCTTCAAGGGCTGCAATAGCTTTACCTGACCGACAATCACAGCAACTAATACATCAAATATACATACAGCATACGGAAAAATGACAAAATCAAGTGAAGTGTTATTTGTGTAGAATCACCTGGTTTTCGGGATCGGAGGTTTTTCTCAAGCTGAATACTCCAATCCATGGAGCAAGCTGCCGGAATTTTCTCCATTACTGTCACACAGCCCTAATTCTGGGAAACAGACTACTAGCAGCAAGAGAGTATACGGCGGCTACAGTAAACAGCCAATCGTTACAATTGCTAACCGCCAGCAAAAACGCCCAAACCCTTGTTATACAGGTCCAAATACCGAACAATCAAAAACCTCGTCTTGTCCCAAATAGACCGGCGAACTCAAAATTGGCGGCTCAGCCGCCGGATTATAGGCAATTGACGACTTCAATTGGGATTTGGTTCTTCTTGGCATCGATTGTTGCGTAGAACGTGACGGCGTCGTTTCGTTGATGCTCGAGAATTGACGGCGTAACTTGGAACGTAGTAGTAGCACTAGAACTTGTGTGTGAAGAGTTTGCAGACTACAACAGTATACGCACGGCGGAGTTTGGAAATAAACACCGTTTTCCCACCTGCAACTTCCTATGTACATTGGCTCTTTCAAATTTTATTCCCATCTTCTTTTATATAATTATTTGTTTATTTATTTAATTCATTATTTAATAATATTAAGGTCACTGTTTTTTGAATTTGTAGAATTTCGAAAAATGTTTTACTTAATATTTTTTTATTTTTTTTATAAACAATTTCGGAAATTTACGTGAATATAATTACGTTTACCATACCACTTTAGTAGTTTATACGTACGATTATCGTAATCTTTATACATAAAATAAATTTAAATTATATTATATAAATATGTAATAATTATATAATATTGTAAATATATTTTTCAGAAGAATTAGAAATCCAAACGTAGAAAAAAAAAATCCAAAATAAAAAAATTAATTGAAATCAACGAAAAATTCCCAACCCTAGGTGTAAATTCTAAACAATATGAATATTTTTTTCATGCATTTTAATGTTTATTCTTATTCTTAAAATAATTATTATTATTGCTTCATTAAAATTTAAAACAAAGTAAAAGGAATCAGTCTTGATTCAACAGAAGGCACTAAATTACTCTACACAAAACAACATTACTTGTTCATTGAGATTTACAAAAGAAGGCAGAAAAACTTAACATATATTATTCAAATTCAAACTTTACAAAGTTGTTCTTCTCTTGCAATGATATTGCAGAAGATAGAGCAGCAGGCACGTCTTCAATGTTCGTTTCAATGCTACGATCGGATGCAGTACCCAACGCCTCTGTTCCCAGCTTTGCTATTGTAATTCACTAATTTGTACCCAAGAATCGGTGGCGTACATTTTGCGCCCTATAAAATTCTGCAAAAAAAATAAAAAAACTAAAAATATGGAACGAGGAAACTATTGACAAGATATATTTAGTCGGATACTTGTATTATATTTACTACACGTTTTACACACATCCAACCACATGCATTTGTGTGTGATTCAGTGCAAATTATTTATGGTGAAATGCTATATTATTAAGGACATGCGTACCAAAATGTTTCGTGGTAATGGCCTACTTCTATATCCACTCGTTTGCACGACCCCCAGACTCGTCCATATCTATAAAGATGCTCACTGCCTGCAACAGCAAACATGCAAATATATACTTTAACACAGAATGGAGCAATCTAAAAAAATCAGCTTGAATCACAGTGCCTCAAAACATTTCTTTTAGCAATCTTGGAAAGAATTTAGATATTAGCAACACATAATACTATGTATGTATTCTAGTGTGCTAAAAGTCAACCAGGGCGCTGTGTAGAAGCCTAATCATCTTCTAACGTCGAAGGAGTTTTTTTTTTTTCTTTTTCCTCTCAGATTAGTAACACAAATATCACAGAAATGGCAGCATATTTTAGCGACATCATACACATATAATATCTAAACCACTTGCATAAAATATGTAATTTGTCGGAGCACAATAATCCAATATCGGATTGAAGAAGAAATCGAAAGGACAAGGGGTTGTTTACCTTTCCAATCCGAGGCCGTTCTTTCGACTTCTCAAGACTGCTTCGGACATGCGAGACAGCTCCCCAACATCTTAAATTAGTTGCCACGTCATCGAGCCTCAAAATGTACTCTTCTTCGGTCAGTGGAAATGATCTCTAAGACAGCGCAAGCAAAACTTAGCTGAGATTGAGACGGCATAGAAATCAAAGTAGAATTATTTGATCCACCCAGTCACACCTTATGCAGTAGTGATCGTCAGATTTTTGTTAATACCGAGGTGAATTATGCAGTAAGAAGATATATTTTGTCAAAAAACAGTGATGAATCGTTGAACTCCAGAGTGCATAAACATCTCACAGAGTGTGGCCTTGTGCGATTTTTTTTTTTTTTGACTATGCTCAATAATCATAACGTAATGTAATATTGACCAATGTAGAAAAAGAGTCACCTGCTCCATGTACTTCCACATGACATTCATAGCAAGGAGATTTCTGCCCATGAACTCCTGCATTACCAAACAGAAACTTGACTTTTCAATTATTTCGCAATAGCTAATAACGTTTAGACTCTTAAATATTATATAAAGCACACTTACAAAAAAAGAAAAAAAGACAACTGTTAACATAACTTGTAGTGCTGCAGCTTCTCGTTTATATGGAACTGTTAAAATCGTGAATCAATACTAGTAAGATTTAACTTTTATACGATCTTTCAACTGTCAACACATATTTCAAATGTTTTAAAACTACAAATGAGGGTAATTTGTTTCCAAATCCGGTCAACACGTGAACAGTGTATTGTGTAAGGTCGTAAACTTTGTCTGAAGTTCATTTGTTTCAATAGTTGATATTTGCATCAACTGAACATGCAAGCTTAACAGTTGGCAGCATGGATTAATGCTGTGCTAGAGGAAATTTAGCTTATGATCCATACAATAATCATCAGGAAGGATTTTTTGTGTGAGTGTTAGAATCACAGCGTTACCAACTACGGATATAATATCATACGGAAAGGGAAAAGAGAAACAGTGCACCTTCTTGATCAATTGAACATCATATGACCTCCCATATTTATTCCGTATAAGAGTTGCGAGATCTATCCCACTGAATCTGGAGTCATCCACCCCAACAATTTTTTCAAGATTCTCTCTAAGTTTGTCACTGTTAACTGGTATGGTCCAGAAATAAGCATGCAAAAATAGAATTCCAAAGAAAATAAATCACGGTCAAGCACGAGCTGTAATAAACGTTAGACGACAAGGAGGTAAAATTCCGAACTCCGAATACAAAACAAAAAAATCAAAATAAAAATTCATAGAGAAATACAGAAGAAAAATGCCTGCATTTCTCCAGCCATGAGTGTATGTACAATTTAGAGCAAACAGTTACTGTTCAACAATTTCACTCATAACCAGCCAGAATCAAACTCTTAATTCGACATTGAACAATTCTTACTCAAATATAAGCAATTAAATATGATTCAACAAACCAATTCAAACAACACTATAACAGGAGAAATACACGAAGAAGAGAAACGGAGAAACTCAACTCACACGGTTAATTCTGTTCTCTTCAGAATCTTCCCGGTTCGAACCGTCCTCGTCAGATTCATCATCTCCTTCAACGCCATCGTCCAATTTACCAGATCGAACGGGCCACGAAACCCTAAATCGCCTCTGTCTGCGAGCGCTGCTGAAGCGGGCACGGATTCGGGGGTCCGAATTTGAGTATCCGAAACAGAGGATTCTGCAATCGGATCCCTTGATATTAAAACCGTCGCCAACCGCCGGCGGCAGAGACGGAGGGTGTCTCGCCAGAATACTCGTCATCGGCGGCGGAAGAGTTGAATTGTTCGAAGGTGTTTGATGGATGCTTCAGTCAGTACATCAGCGGAGAATGTACAGAAGAGGAAGCAAAATCAGAATCTAACGGCGGAGACGGAATAAATGAGGACCTCAGAAATGGTAATGAAGCCATAATGTAGTCATCGTAATTTCAAAGTTATTTTCCATCTAATAATGGGTAAATTACACATGCACCTCTGAGGTATACTAAAATAATTTTAAGGTCCCTGTAGTATTGTTAATGCACACTCTTAAAACAATAATCGGAGCCAAGATTTCATGTAACTGGGACCTATATACACTATATTTGTGTACCGTGGGGCTGTTAATGCATCCATAGATGAAGATTTATTAAGGACTTAAGAAATGTTATGAGAATCATGTCACCCTCTAGCTCTATGTCGTCTCCATCAATGTCTGAAACTAGTAGTCCGTTAGAACCCTAATGGAATAACTTGTCCAACATATTATTCTGTTATGGTTTCTAACAATGTTTCAGGGGTGATTGTAATTACCGATACTACAGGGACTTTAAAGATATTTTAGCATACCTCGAGGGTGTAGGTGTAATTTACCCTAAATAAAATGTAAATTCCATTCAGCCTCTGAGGTAGGGTCAAATTACGAAAAAATCATCCATGTTTGGATAATAACAATCATCCATCAATTATGAATAATCTTACACGTTCATCCTCGTGGGGTCAAATTTAATGGAATCTTCAAGATTATATGGAACATTCTCTAGTTTGTACTTGTTTTATTCCAACTGAACTCCACCATTTTGAAACAAGATGATCATAAGATGTGTCTCTTGCCTTGTAAATGTCAGATTGTGGTGCATACTGTAATTTTGCACAAAACGAGTACTAACTAGACAACATTACACGGAATCTAGAAGATTCTGTTGAATTTTAATATCATAAAGTCGACGTGTAAAAAAATTCATAACTGAAGGGATGATTATAATTACCCAAACAATAGGGAATTTTTCAGAATTTAAAGCTCAGGGATGGCCGAAATTTACCCCATATAAATTACTACCATCACCTTGAAATTAAATATACTTAGAAAAAACAAAATATTTAAGAAATTATAATTGTTCCTCAAACTACTAATAATTGAACTTTGTGGATATTCAAAATTATTTCTAAATGCGAAAATATATAAATAACCCACAAAATACGTTGATTTATGGAATCGGCAAAATGAGTTTTTGGTCCCGTAAGTTTACGAGTTTGGAATTTTAGACCAGTACATTATAAATTTTGAGAGTTTTGGTCACATGCTGTTATTATAACAGGTAACTTAACGAAAACGAACCAAAAATCAAATTCAAAAAAAAATACGAAAAACTAAATTTCTAATCTATTGAAACTGAAAGTATGATGTAAAGGTAAATGACATGCACAATCACAATTAATATAAAGATTTAACACATGTTTACGAATTAACCTTAAAATAATAAAATACATTCAAAATTATATTAAAAATGTAAAAACTTTCAGAAATCAGAAATCGAAACTTTCAGAATTATGAATTCAATATATTGTTCCAGAATCGAAAATATAACGAAATCAGAGAAATTTGAAAATTCCGTTCCAATTTTCATCATATTAGACTTTTCTGCCGTTTTAAATAATAATAAATAAATAAAGTAAAGTAAGGAGAAAATAAATAAATAAATAAATAATAATCAGAATTTGGTTGTTCAGTTGAGTGCCACCAAGGTTGCTCTAAGATAAGGTTATAAATTGACCCTTCTTCTTCTTCTCTCTCTCTATAGAGAGAGAGAGAGAGAGAGATATGGCTGGAGCTAGGCAATGGAATATTCCATATTCAACATCAGGAAAGATCATCGACAAATTCATTTCCATACCCATTGTATCTTCTTCCAAGAGAAATGATCTCCCAATGGTAATTAATTACTCCTAATTAAGGGTAAACTGCATAAACCCCCCCTGTGTTATGGAAAACATGCACCAAACCCCCATGTGTTAATTTTATTGTCGTAGAAATCCCCCTGTGGTTATTT